CAGGCCTGTCCTCAGGAACAACAGGTGGGAGACTGCGAGTGGGGGAGAGGAGCCGCCCATCCAGTCAGGGTTTGGGGATGAAGAGGCCCTGGGGTGGGGGTTACACAACTGGCATGGGCAACAGCCGGTGGTGATGACCCCTGGGAGGGGGGGGCGCATGTAGTTCCTGCAGGGTGTCAGCTCCACAGGGTCAGCCTGGGAGACCAGGACCACCCCCACCCCTGGCCCAGGGTGAGTCCTGCTCATCTGGGGGTGTCTAGGATGCCCCCCTTCCCACAGTGTAAACCCCCTGGCCCAGGCAGCGTGTCCCTGGGTGGTGTGTCCCAGCTGTACCTGATGGTGCTGTCCTTGTCCTTGCACTGCTGCTCCAGCCTGAGGACCCTCTGCTTCAGCCCGGCCACCACCTGCAGACATCACACACCTGCACCACGGCCCCAACCATGCAGGTGGAGCATCCCTAGCACAGTGAGCCCGGAGCACGGGCCTCCCCTGGACCGTGGGCCGCGAAGGACAGGGATTCACCAGGCCAGGGGTATTCGCGGGTCTGACACAGCAGGGTGCAGCCACACTGCCAGACAGAAAGTACCATGCTAGGCGGCCTGGGGCTGGGCAGCTTGGCACTCACCAAGCAGGTCCCCAGAAGAAAGACCAGCCTGCCCCCTGCTCCCGGAACAGCAGCCTGGGCAGCCCACGGAGGCTGTTTCCCTGCTGCACGTGCGTACGTGGATCTGCCTGTGCGGGGTTCCCCTCGGTGCGGCCTGGCTGGGACCGGGCTGCTCAAGGCCTTCCGCAGCTTTCCTCCCTCCACAGGGATCTCCCAGCCCCCTCAAACCAGCCTCACCCCCCTCCAGAGTGCCCATGTCCTCCTAGTGGGTGTTCAAAGCAGTGTCTGGGGTGGCAAACATGTCTTCGGCAAAAACCCTGGCTGTGCCAAGAGCCCAAGGAGGGCAGTCAGTGCCTGCCAGGCTCAGGCACTCTCAGGGACAGCTTGGCTGCAGGAATTACAATGACAAGGGCACACACCTTGACCTGGAGCAGGGGTGGGGACGTCTGGCTCCCGACTGATTCATAGCGACAGTGTGAGTGTTGGAGACTCTAACTCTTTACGAGAGTAGACCACCTCGTCTTTCTGACTCAGGACAGCTGGTGGTTTCAAACTACCCACCCTACAGTTGGCAGCTCAATGTGTAACCACCAGGCCACCAGGGCTCCTGCCTATCACGACATCATGACACTCCCTCACCACAGGTGAGGCCAGCCGGCCCAGCACTCATGTTAGGGGTGAGCTCATGGAATGTCCAGACTGGCCTTGGCAGATACGAGGCTCCCCAGCCCCGATGCAGGGCCTGTCCTGAAAACCCACTGACCCAGACAGCCAGGGCACCTGCCCAGAACCCAGAGGCCTGGGTGCTTCCTGCATGGCACCCGTGGGCCTGGCTGTGTGGCCCCGGTTCCTGTTCTTTGTCTGCAGAGGCTCTGCTGTGAACGCGTTGCTCGATGCTCCGACTCGGGCTATAAACACGCAGCACAGATGGGGTCTCGCTCTGGAGGGGCTGTTTCCCCCTGGCGCACAGCCCGAAGGGGGAGTGTTCCAGACACCAGGCTCGGGCCAGCCCGGCTCCATCACAGCCCTTTCTACGCTGGCATGGGAGGCTGTACCCAGCCAGTCATCTCCTTGCCAGGGTGGGTGGAGGGGTGTGGGTGATGGGGCTGCAGGCCACACTACCAGCCTTCTCTGCCCTGAGCCCCGGGCCCTCCCTTCACCTCAGGCCCCTGAAAGTTACAACACAGGACTGGGCCTTGGCGCCGCCACGTGCACACGCCCCTCGAGGTCTTC